CTTTCCAGAATTAAATGAAAGGAAATGCTCTGCAGGCAATGTTGTTAGCATAAAGGAAAAGGAAGTAAGATAATAGTTATAGCAGGCTATGCACATTGCTATGATTCAAAATCTCTCAAATCATGAATTACCAATAGGAAAACAGCTTTGACAGGAACTGATAGGCTAAGCAGCTATGGCATTTTAAAAATATATTAGAAATTTTACACAGAAGGAACTTAAATGTCAAGAAAGGCTAGGATTTGTGGCACACGTTATGACAGTAATGGCGAACCTTTTCAGCACCAAGTGCCCAAACTGGAATGTGTGCGCATGCATGCGTGTGTCAGAAACCCAAAGACCGGGTGGCTGGTGTGCATGCGCGTGCTGGCCACCTGGCCTTTGGCGCACGCATGCTTGCCAGCCAGCCAGCTGGTCTTTGCACACTGGAGCACCAGAAATCTGAACACCAGGAGGTGATGGCACGCATGCCTACAAAGAGGGCTCTATATGCCACCCCTGGAACCCGTGCCATAGGTTCGCCCTCACAGCATTATGGTCTTCGGCCCATTACAACTCAACATTATAGGAGAAGTAATCCAACACAATGGGAAATCAACAGGCTGGGATAAACTAAGCTACCATATTTTTTGGAGTATAAAATGCACTGGAGTAGAAGACGCACCAAGGTTTTGAAGAGGCAAATTTTTAAAAAAGGTTTTGCACTCTGCAAATCTCCCCCAAAAGGTTATTTTTTTAAAAAGGGCATGAATAGCCCTTGGGAGATTTGTAGAGTATTCCGGGGAGGGGGGGGGGAGCGGGACAGAAAAAAAGGGCATTAGGAAGCTAAGCTGGGAGGGACAAACTTTCTGCCTTCCCCAGCCCCCAGGAGCTCTCTGAAAGCCTCCTACAAGCTATGGCACGGCCATTTTGGTGAAGGGGTGGGGTTTCAGGAGGCAAAAAATTGCTGTATTCAGTGTATAAGACGCACTTCGATTTTAAGCCTCTTTTTTGAGGGGAAAAGGTGCGTCTTATACTCCGAAAAATACAGTAGCTCTTTCCTCTTAGAATCACAGGGCTAGAAGGGCCTCAGAGATCATATAATCTAACTTCTTCTTCCTTGGAGCAGGGCCTAATAAGGCTCTTCAGAGGCCTACTATCTACCTTCAATATGAATATCTCCAGTGAACAGAAACATGCTAATAATGAGGCAGTTTGTTTCACTGGTACACAACTTTTATTTTGAGAAAGATCACCAGATCTTTCAGAGAGACTGAGATTTTTTTTAGACTGTTCATCATTAGATGTTGCCTTTTAACAAAGTTGCTCTGTCTTATTTTAATAGCAGCTTTTAATCAGTTGTTGATTTTTAAAAATGTTTTAACACTTCAATGGGTATATATTTTACCAAATGTAAAAAAAAATCCCTGTGACAGATATAAACTTACAAATAATTAAAAAATATATGATTAAAGGCTTCTTTCTAGGGAAAATACACCTAGCACTTCAGTTCATATCAAGACTTTATGGTTCTTCCCATATCAACCTTATGTCTGTTTCTGCAAAATATCCATTGTAGTCCTACAAACATATCCCTCTCCCTCCTTTGTCAAACAGCTAGTTGAATTTTGCACTACAAAGCATTTGTTGCTGGAACAAGAGAACACAACATCTGTATTACGTAGCAAATTCCCAACTCACCAATGGTCCTTTATTAGCCACCCAAGCCAATATTTTGGATGCCGTTAGCTTTCCTGGACAATAAAAATAAAGGGAAGTTGTTCTTACCATGAAAGTGTGCCCAACTACCCAGAGTAAGAACCAAGAATAAGGAGAAGTAGATAGGCAGTAAATCGCAGGAGGGAGAACAATGGAAGGGCAGATAGCATTTTGATCAATCAGTGTTTTGTGATTAGTCTACTCCATACCACTGTTTCGGGAGAATGCCCATATCATTTTAATGTCTCCTCAAACCAGAAGACTGGGGCTGTATGGGTTGGTAGAGTACATACAGTCATTTATATACTCGGCTCCGAAGGCATTAAAATGAGCAATTAAAAGAGGCATAATTCACATTTACCCAACATATTAATAGCGTTCTCTTTGATCAGAATAAAAAACAAGCAGTTTCTACCAAAAGGAATAGAAATATTATTTGCCAAAGATTCCTTGCCAACATTCATAATAGAGGGCCAAATCAAGTGTTAATTTGACTTCTCATCCCTGGCCCTCCCACTCATTTGAAAACTCATCTTAAATTAGTTCAAACACTGACTCTAAGGGTGATGGAAATTCATTCCACCAGCCAGGCGCCAATTGGTAATTAATCTATGACCACATAGTGAGAGAGAACACAGCACAAATCACCATTTCAACTGCAGATAGGAAAGCACAAGAAAATGAATGAGATGTTTCCAAAGGAGAAAAATACCCATTATCAAAAGAATTAAAAGATGGTTATGGTGGGGGTAGAAATGTCAGGTGTATTAGGTCACAATTTAGACCAATGTTTCTCAACCCATGTGACCATAATACATTGGTTACAAAGCTTTGCATATCTTCTTGTGCCAGTCAAATCACTATCGCTCCTGACAAATCGCAAATACAAAAAAAATATTCTGAAAAGGTGCTATTAATGTTCAGGAATTCCTCTTTCACTACTTGGCAATATAGCCAATTCTTTTTAACAGAACCTAGTTTGCCTATGATTTTTAAAGGCTGGGCGGATTTTTCTAAGGATAAAGACATAGGTAATATCTTCCTTCAACCCAGTTGCAATCCCCTTAAAATTTGTCCAAAACATCCCACTTAGGCTGAGGTGCACAACTTTTCTAGGCCAAGGGCCAAAACCATCTTTGATTGGTGATGGTGAAGGTGATGGACATGTTCCAAAAAGGTACCTCTGATTTGATTTAAAAGGACAGGTAATTTAAATTATTTTTTGTTATCCACTTACTCTTCAGTTATTTATCCCTAATTTCTACTACCATATTAGCATTAACAAATCTGCAACAACTTATAGTACACACTTGGACTTCACCCAAGGTTTTTGAGGAATAGGTGTCGACTCAGGTTGTACACCTGAATGGTAGAACATCATGCTTTTAAACAGTCCAAATTCTCCTATTTTTCACAGATATCAAGTGTACATTCTAATTTTTATGGGAATGTTTTCTGTGCTTTAGTTGAGAAGCTCCCTCCCCTCTTTCCCTTTAACATTGCAGTGTGACAAACTAACCTTTTAGTCATGAATGCTGAACATCCAGCAAAAACAACCATCAGAATCCCACTACTGTTTACAAGACTTGGACATGGTTCTTGGAGACAAACAGTTGGAGAGAGAAAAGAGCACAGCTGCATAAAATGAACAGAAAAACAGCAGGACTCCCTTAAGAAAGAAAAATGGGAAACGGTTAGTAGAAAGATCCTCAGAAATAGAAAAATCAATCAAGTGAAGAATATTGCTCTCTGGATTAGGAAGGAAGAGTAAGATATTAAGAACCGAAAAAGAAAGGATAAATTTAAGAGGACAACTGAACGATGGGAGTTAGAAAGCCTGTGATCCATGCTTGCAGAATTAAAGTATTAAAGTCAAACGAATGTTTATTCACAAATTGCTTGCTGCATCAGCTACATACATAAATGCTATTGGTGTAAAAGTGGAGTCTAAGCACAGGTGAACTGATCCAGAAGTGCAAGTACTAATATTGTAGGACAGGGATGAATTTGGTATGCAATGTCTGCATCCCAGGTAGTTAGAAATGGTCTGAAAACACAAGGCAAAAAGATGTACAAATGCCAAAGAAATAACTGGACAAACTAAAATCCTTCTTACTTAGAAGTATTCTTTGAACTTAACTCCTATCTGTAGGTCAAAAAGAAATTTGAACAACCTTGGCTACTGATAGTGCAGCTTCCTATTCCAGACATCATACATATTCATAACTCAAAGTGGAGGAAGTATCTACAGTAAACAAAGGCAACCATCCAAAGAGCTATTTGAATTCACTCCTGAGGCCTTGGGCAAGCAGAGAAGAATTGTTAACTTTTTTTCGCTTTCAACAGCTGTGTGACCACACGCCTTATAGGAAATTGCTTTTGGAATCCCCCAGTTTCTATATTCATTTGCTATACAGCATTATGAGAAGGGGAGGTCACTGCAACTTGGAAAGGAAAAGTAAATTTTGGATCAACTCTAACCTCCCACGCTATAAAAGAAAAAAGAAAAAGAAAAAAATAATATGGGATTGGTCAGTTTTGAATTTCAGTTAACTGGTCTGAAACCCACTTTAAAACACATTTAAAGTATAACTTTAAGTAGGCATATATAATATAGGTTAAAATTTCTAAGTACCTCCAGGAAACTTCCTGGCAGTAAGTAAACCAACAACTGGCTCAATGTCTCTTCTTTTACATCACCAAGAAAAAGGGGAATCTGAAGCTAGCTGGGATAAAGAATTGATTATACTAGTAAAGTCAATGCAGGATCTTAAATTAAACATCGTTCCTAAAGATTCAGCATATTTTATTCAGGAAAGGAAAAAAAACCTATTAAAATACAGTTTATTAGCATTACCATATCAATTTACCCATAGACACACAACATAAGCATAAGCTTGGGAAAATCCAATGTGAAAGCTGCTTTAGAAAAGGATGAATTTTAACGGGACTATTTCATTTTCTCCTTCCCAAGTGCCCAATTCTACTTCAAACTTTTGGAGAATCTTTGGAACAAATTTGAGTGTATCAGAAAAACAGGGAAATTGTTCTTTCAGTTCTGCTAAAGAAACCACTGGTAATTCATCAAATTTCATCAATTGTGTTCGCAAATCCTGTTTTAATTAAGCTTGGAGTCCTTATTTATATAGTAACAATACCCAGAATTCTCAGCCATCTTAACCATAACTAGGAATTTCAGAAATTCTAGACAAAATATAGCTGTGCAACATTAGACTGAGGAAAACTGCAGTAATCAAAACACATTTCATTAAATGTATTTTTTTTAAATAAAAATTACTTACCTGATAACTTTTCACTCTGACAAAGTCAACTTTCATGGAGATGAACTTTTCTGAGTTTCTACTGAGGTTCTTAATATGCTCCACAAGATCAGCACAGAATTTGTAGCCACCTTTAAGTACACAGAGAACCACGATGTCATTGTATCCAATGTCTTGCATGATATCTTTCGCCAAACGTTCTATCCTAAAGTAAGAATTAAAAATAAATATAAGTAAGATTTAGTCTCTCCAGTTCACATGTGTTTTTGTGCAACACAACCATAATCAACTTCATACACAATTACCAGAGGTGGGTATCCAATGCTAGTTTTGCTCATGCTCATGATGCTTCTGCGCATGCGCAGAAGCATCTGGGTGAGTGGGCGGAGCCTTCCGCTGAAGCCACTACTAGTTTGGCTGATCTGGGCATAACTGGGAGCAACCCACCTCTGACAATTACATTTATTTTTTTATTCTCTTGCAGGGCATAAAAAGAGGCTATTTGCAAGACCATCTCTATTTGAATATACCTTACCTGTTCCACCAGATCACATAAAGGAAGCACACTCTGGGATTCTTCCCTTAAATGTTGCTATCTTATGGTTCCCAGGATATGTGCATTTTCTGTGGCAGCCCCTACTCTGAGGAACACCTTTCACTTTGAAATCCAGTAGGCCTCAACCCCCTAACCTTTCTGAATCGTGTTAAGGGAGTTCTTCTCCCAGGCTCTGCGATAAGTGAAATTAGAATTGGAAAGTTCTGTTAACTCATTCAGGTAGATTGATTACAGTGTAAGGTTTTTTTTATTTCTAACAACTAAACCCAGCATTCCTCCAACATTGTCAAACTATTTCTAAGTCTGCACTACTATTACTCTTCTCATCATTCCTATCATCCATCTCTCCCTCTTATGACTGTATGACTGTAACTTTGTCCTTGTATTCTTACGGTTTATAGTGATTGTTTCCTAATATGATTTGATGGCATATTTGTACCCTCTGACTATAATTAAGTGTTGTACTTTATGATTCTTGACGAATGTATCTTTTCTTTTATGTACACTGAGAGCATATGCACCAAGACAAATTACTTGTGTGTCCAATCACACTTGGTCAATAAAGAATTCTATTCTATTTTAATTATTTTATGATTTGTTTGGTCTTTGGTTTTATACAACTGTTGTGAGGCACTCAGTGTTGTGATTAGCCACATGCATCAATCAATCAATCAATCAATCAATCAATATTTGGCTGCAGCTTAGTGCATAATGCATTCAATGTTATGCAGTAGAAATTGGCTGCAATTTAGTGCATTGTGTATTCAATGTTATGCAGTAGAAATTGTAATCATCAATATTTTTCCATTATATGTATATTTTGTTAATAGTGGACATCACTGGAGAAAGTGGGCCAAAATGTTTACATTTTCAAGGGAGGGGAAGATTTGGGGTTAGCTTTAATGGAAACAAATAAAATTTGCTTTACACCGAGTTCTGGTGGTATAATTCTAGGGGGTATCCAACACCTTCCAGAACCTGGCCAGATTTGACAACTAAGCAAGATCAGTCTTTAAAATACTTTAATCAGTATTTAAACAGGAGATCTTTAAGAAACCTCTAGGGATGTTGGCTAGACTAGGAAATTAAAAAGAGAATGAATTAATTAATTCTGTATTGGGTCAAAAAATAGCATGACAGTGCCTGTGAAGTTACCAGTACAGCTGAACTCAAAAGAAACTTCACCTCCTACACACATAAATATAAACCTATTTATATTTGGGTGAGAACCATCTATCAAATTTACCCAAGAGTATCAAATTCTTATATACATGATTACCACTCAGAAGCATGCTTCATATGCAGCACAATTTAGGATTCTTTTGTCAATATGCTGCAGAATTTCACAGCTTATTATATCAAATATTCAACCTATGTTGATTATCCAGTAAGGGACATAGCAATCTGAAGCCAATGCTGTTTTAATACAGCAGAATGTTTCTTAAGAAAATCTCTTTCCATCATTTTTCTCTGCACCTTGAGTTGCATCTTAGACATTTAGCCTCTAGGCCATTATTAACATTCAAAATGTCTCACACGATAAGAATTTATAGTATACTCTGGAGGATAAGTGATCAAGGCATACTCCCCATTCACCAAGAACAAAAGCATATTTTGACAGAGTTTATTTTAAACTGTAAATTATTATTTGAAACAGGCAAATCTCTCAGCATCTCTCACCATCAACTATGTTGGCTAGGGTTGCTAAGAGTTGTGGCCCACCCATCTTAAGGCATGAAATATAAAACAGACCTTTTCCCACTTAGTTTTCTACTTAAAGGTGGCCATCTAGAACAGTGCAGAATGGATAGATCTGAAGATTTATAGTTTTAGTTTTCACATCCAAAATATAACATAACATCACTATATTTCCTTGGGCAAGAGTCAGAGGGCAGCATTTAAATTTAATAAATAAATGTCACATTCAATTGATTCAAACATGCTAGTAAGTCTAACTAAGTTAGGTTTTGAATTAGCATTGCACCAAACTAAGCCACTCTGGTTTATTCCATCAATCATGGTTACATTCCAGTGGTGGGTTTCAAATAACATTGCAACCGGTATGGTTGCAACGGGGCCCAGCGTCCTCCACATGAATGTATGCAGCGCGTCCACGCACACAACGCGTGCATGCGTCTTACCTTCCAGCGATGCCTCCGCAAGCCTCCGTGATGCTCCAGCTGCTTGGCAAAGCATCGCACAGGTGCTGTATGCGCCGTGAGTGGAAGCGCCGAAGAGTTTAAAGACAGGTAAGGAGCTCAGGTGGGCGGGTGGGCCCTCCGGAGCACTGTACTAGAACAGTACCTGGTGCTCCGGGCAGGCACCGGTATGCCTATACCGGGGTGTACCACCTGCACCCTAACTCTAACCCTAACCCACCACTGTTACAGTCAAACATAGTTTGGAACAAGCTATAAACAAGCTGTAAACCTAATCTACTAATCTACAGCTATAAACAAGCTGTAAACCTAATCTACTAATCTACTAATTGGCCAAAAAAAAAACACCCTTGGCTGGAATATGCCCTAAGCTCACTGACTCAGATCTAAGAAGTTTTATGGCACAAACAAACATTCTTGAGGGTACACAAGAACAAAATCAAATTAAAAGATGGAAAAGGAGACCACTGAACAAATAATAATATTAAAGGAAAATATGGATGAAGGATCTGACCTCCATTATATTACGTAGAGAACTCTGAATAGGTTGAGAGGAGTGCCTAAATGTAAAATTAATATACTCAATATACTAATATATTCAAGGGGAAGCTCTTAGCAGATAATATCACATTATGTAATTATGGAAAGGTGGGNGTTCTGATCTTAACCGACAATGTGGCCTCCAAGGCACATGTCAATCACAAAGGGGGCATGCATTCCAGGGCCCTCATGCTGGAGGCAGAGAAATTGCATCACTGGGTGAAATCCAGACTGTTGTCCCTTCAGGCGGAACACATTTCGGGCTACTCCAACATCCAGGCGGATTGGCTGAGCAGAGCCACATTGGATCATGCGGAGTGGCAGCTCCACCCCAACCTCTTCCGGCAGCTCTCCCGCCAGTTCAGCCATCCAGCGGTGGACTTGTTCGCGCAGCCCCACAATGCGCAACTGCCCCAGTTTTACTCCAGATACGTGACTCCCGGGGCGGAGGGAGTGGATGCCTTGCGCAGCCCATGGCCGGCTGGCCTTCTCTACGCCTTTCTGCCTCTACCAGTGATTCCAGCAGTCATCCAGAAGATCCTGTCGGAACGAGCGGAGATTCTCTTGATGGCTCCGATGTGGTCCTGACGAATCTGGTATGCCGACCTGGTGCACCTGTCAATCTCACGCCCGTGGAGGATTCCGGACGATCAGATCCGGCTCAACCAGGGGCCCTCATACATCTGAACCCCCAGTTGCTTCAATTAGCTGTGTGGCACGTGAGTGGACTATTCTGACTGACCTTCATTATTCCAATGAGGTCATTGACACGATTCAAGCGGCCCGTTGTCCCTCCACCACTCGAATTTACGAGGCTACCTGGCAGGCCTTCTGCAGGTGGTGCTGATGGAATGGGTCAGACCCTCTCCAGGATTTGGTGCCCCAGGTATTGGACTTTCTGCAATCGGGACTCAACAAAGGTTTGGCACCCAACACGCTTCGCAGGCAGGTCATGGCCCTTGCCACGGTGATTGGGGGAGGTCAGGGACGCTCCTTGTCCCAGCATTCGCAAGTCAAGGCTTTCCTGAAAGAGGCGGCCAACATCCGGCCTCCGACCGTGCACTGCTACCCTACATGGGATTTGACGTTAGTATTCAGGGCGCTTATGAGCTCTCCATTTGAACCTATTACTTCTATCAGTCTTTGACTACTAACTCTTAAGACCGTGTTCTTGGTGGCTATTACATCAGCCAGGCGGATTTCCGAATTGGCAGCACTGTCAGTTCGGGCGGACCTCTGTATATTCCGTCCCAACAGAGTCGTTCTCCGTTTGGACCCAGCCTTTCTACCAAAAATCAACATGTTGTTCCACACGGCTCAGGAACTCGTCCTTCCGGACTTTTCCCCCAACCCTTCTCAACCACAGGAACGCCAGTGGCATCACCTGGATCTACGCAGGGTTCTTCGTCGCTACATGAAACGCACAGAGTCTTTCAGGCGGTCGGAAGCGCTTTTTGTGTCCTTTCAGCCATCATCCATGGGACAGAAGGTTTCTNGGAGACTAGTATAGATCTATTTCAAGCTATTTAGCTCTCATCAGCTAGCCATACCCTTACTTAGCACAGGTTTAATCCCAGTAAGGGTATGGCTAGCTGATGAGAGATAAATAGCTTGAAATAGATCTATACTAGTCTCCCTTTATTTATTTATCAGCACAAATACTATATATATCATGTTTTTAAAAAAAGATACTTTTGCTCTAGTATACAAATCTATTATATAACTTATAAGAATATTCATTTATCTTACTGAGCTAAATATGCATGAGAAAATTGTCAATGATGTGATCAGGGGAGTAGTACAGAAAAAGAATAATAGCCCCTATTTCCTAAATGAGATTACTACAGCAACTAAAGAGATTTCTAGCTTGCTTTTGGAATGATTACCTCGCTCTCTTCCTATTAGGTGATGTTCTTAAAATTAATATACAGCTATGAAACAGAACA